ACGACGACGACGACTGCTGCTGCTGCTACTACTATATACTATACCACTACTGCGACGACGATGACTGACTGTGCGACTGGCGACTGCGCTCCAAGACTGCACTCCTGCCACCTGCTACTTACCCCTCCTACTACTACGACTTGGTAGCTCTAGCATGCCTAACACGCGCTCCGCTACCTTGGCCCTGCAGCATGCTTTTGATAGTTCTAATGCAGATCGAGCTTGAGCTTAACCGCTTGACTGGCATTGTTCAGTGTTCCAGATTCCAGTCCAAGATAAACGTGGTTGCTAGTGCCACCGCTGGTGGTGATATAATTACCAGTTCACAAAACAAAATACAACTACAAACGTGTTTCAATCTGGGTTAAACTAGTTGAATGAATACTTCTCATGTAAGTAGTTGTTGATGACTCATGCCTCATGCTTTGTAAAGGGTCTTGGGATGGGTGGTAGGGATCAACCAAAAGGGGAATTTCCAAATGAGGTATTTGATGAGATTGCACAAGAAGCAGACGGCATCCATACCTTTGCAGGACTCAAGAGAATCGTTTTGTGGCTCGCTCAATTGGTCAGTGAATTCAGAACATACATTGCAGCATATGCTCATGGTCAGTCTTACTTCTTGCTGCTTAAAATTACAAGTCACAAGTGTTTTGGAAGTTTGGCAACTTAGACACACACTCACACTGTCACTGAAATTGTTTCATTAGGCAAAGACTATAGCCAAGGCAGCTGACGGGGCTCAAAGATTCTGCTTATCTGGATTCCCTTTCGCAGCCACAACTGGCCGGACTCATTTACCGAGATAATCTGAGGCATCTTGGACTACGGCTTTGGGGAAACTGATGCATTTGTTATTTTGGGCATTTGAAGTTGAGGCGGAAAGGAAAAGTGGTGGAAAGTAGTAGTGTAATAGTAGTAGTAATAGTAGTAGTAGTAATAGTAATAGTAGTGGTAGTAGTAGTAGTAGTGGTAGTAGTAGTAGTAGCAGTAGTAGTAGTAGTAATAGTAGTAATAGTAATAGTAGTAGTAGTAGTAGCAGCATAAGTAGCAGAAGTAGTCGTAGTAGAAGTGTAGTAGTAGTAGTAGTAGTAGTAGTAGTAGTAGTAGTAGTAGTAGT